ACGACTTCAGTGGGCACAGGGTTATCGCAATTGGCGTCATCGTGAGTGGAGGCGTGTCATCTTCTCTGATGAAAGTGGCTTTTGTGTCTCCATAGCAGACGGAAGAGTCAGAATTTGGCGGCGTCGAGGTGATCGTTTCGCTGACAGAAACGTTGTGGAAAGGGATCCATGGGGTGGACCTAGCGTCATGATATGGGCAGGGATTGGACTTAATGCGAGACTTGGACCCATGTGCTTTGTGAATGTTGGTCAAGGTCGGAGACACGGCGTCACTGCTCAGCGGTATATCGACCAAGTGATCAGACCCCACGTTGTTCCATTTTCAACAACAACACATTTTCCAGCAGAACAACGCTCGTCCCCATGTTGCTAGACCTACCATGGCCTCTCTGCAACAACACAACATGCGTGTTCTACCGTGGCCAGCCCTCAGCCCTGATCTGAACCCCATCGAACACTTGTGGGATGAGGTTCAAAGGCAACTGGACAATGTGCGCCCAGTCCCTACAACTGCCGACGAACTACGCACAGCTGCTCTGGATGTGTGCAGGAGGATCCCTAGGGCCTTAACAAATCGTCTGATCCACTCAATGTACAGGAGATGTGTGGCAGTGATCAAAGCTAATGGTGGTCACACCAGGTATTGACTGACCCGTATTGACCCGAAACTGTGTAAGCCCTTAACATTTGAAAAAACTCAATTATGTCATCTGCCTTTTAATCCATTAAACTGTCTTCAGTCAAATTTTTGTCAATCTTGCCCTATTAGTATTTCTTGTCTTTACTGTTGAAAATAAATAACATGTATACTGCATACTCGACTTGCGTTTCTTTTGCGTGTGAGTATACCTCAGCATCGGTATCACTGCGTGGCATCTCAAACCCCACGCAGAGCCATCTTAAACAAGGTAGCCCGCAAGAAAATGGCATTACCATCACTCCAAAGACACACAAAAATAGCAGCTTCCAAGGCAGAACACTTATGATTCGTGAGTGTTATTTTAGTTGTGTGTTAAAGACCTATGAACATTGGAGATGTCGAGACGAAAGGTACTCCCTAAAGTCCACTGCGATGTAGACGCGTGGATAATTGCGCTCTCTGTCAGGTCTTAACGTATACGTTAATTGATGAGATGTGCCATTTACCATGAGGCAAGGGCGTTGGTCTTAAGATGCCACCTTTCAATATTTAAGCTAAATACAAATGATTTTGTTCTAAATCGCAAGCAATACGGCGAATATTGCTTCTTGTAACTTTTCGGTGATAAATTGATGGGTTAGTTGGTTTGTTGTTTTACGCCGTACTCAGCAATATTCCAGCTATATGACGGCGGTCTGTAAATAATCGAATCTGGACCAGGCAATCCAGTGATTAATATCATGAGCATCGATCCACGCAATTGGGATCGATGACATGCATCAACCAAGTCAGCGAGCCTGACCACCCGATCCCGTTAGTCGCCTTTTACGACAAGCATATTCAACTTTTACGGCAAGCATGGGTTGCTGAAGACCTATTCTACCCCGGAATCTTCACGGGTCGATAAATTGATGGGAAGGGCGTGGACTGTCTCTGTGGTATGGTGGTAGACCGTCCCCCCCGGGGAGCGGAAGGTCGGGGGTTCCATCCCCGCCGGCGGCATACCAAAATATGTTTAAAGATGATACTTGTTGTTACCCTGTATGGTGCTCGAATTTACGTGGCTAAAACAAGGGGTGCGTTGCAAAACGCCAATCTCTTTCAAGCTATGTACAGCAATTCGCCTTACAACGGTGCGCAAACTTTCAGCCGCTTGCAATCACACCAATCGCTAGCTGGGGTTGCTTCGTTCTCAAACCAAAATGTGGCTGAGATCGAGAGGGGAACAAGACATATTTGACTAGATCAAATGGGAAATGGGCAAAGGCAGCTAACATCCCAGCATCCCCAGTCCATACATTCATCGGCTCGTCATCGAGCCTCTTCTAACACGTCCTTCGTTAACGCAAGGCAACCAAGCGGTAGTTGATGTCCCTACCACCCTGGCTTAATTGCATCGCAATATACATTGTAATATGTTGTAAATTAACTAACGCATTGTGTTTTGATAATGGTTGATATGAAGAATACGGTACAGTCTAATGTAAGCAGTGGTATGGAAGTTACTGTACGTATATTGTGCTTTTGAAGTCAAGTGTAATCTGGACTCTTCTCGAAACGATATGGACTAATCCAGAATGGTATGGCAGCCTCTAGAAGGTATTTACACTATATATATAAGTGGGCAAATGCATGCTTCTATCATCTCACATTACATCTCACATTACATCAAGACCAGCGGATGTGTAAAGATCATTGTTTTCACCAAGGACATCCAGCCTAGGCCTATTTTGGAAGCTTGCTAGGTGAATATTACTACCACTACTATCATATGTTATACTGCCATGTAATTACACTGCCATTACATTTTGTAGTGCCACTCAATTTTGTGCAGCTATTGTAATAGCTGTGCAGTAATTTGTATTGATTTGTAAACCTAGTTCATGTTATAATACAACTGTAAATTGTACACCATTTCTTTGTTGTTTGTTGGTTTCACACTGAATTAATTTACGTATAGATGTCTGGGATAACTTATTGTTTCAGGGGCACGGGTGGCCCAGTCGTCTTAGGCGCCGCGATTAGCTGTGCAGAGTTGCGTCCCTTGGGCACGCCAGAAACCTATGATTGTAGGTTCGAAACCCGGTTCGCCCCGATTATGTTTCTAGGTTTGTAAGCACCATACCAGTGCTCGTGGGTTTCACCGAAGTGGTAAACGTCTGAGACCTGCATCACTTCGGGCTTTCCTCCCACATTAAGCTGACACGCCGTGATATAACTGGAATACTGTTAAAAGCGGCGTTAAACCCAACTCACTCACTCACTCAATTTGAAACCGCCTCCGTGGTCTAGAGGTAGAGCGTCCGCCCTTTACAACTCACCTTACCTTTAATTTGGAAGTCGACACGTAACAGGTAAGAGGCCTGGTACACCCTATATAAATGTAGATATTCCATATCTCAAACTACTATTTTGAAATGATAACACAGCCCAGTATTCATTTAGATCTCCTATCTCCAATGGTTAATTCTGACTGGGAAGCTAGACGTTGGCGCCCCAATGTTTCTAATCACTGAAAGTGGAACCTCCCTCATCTTTTGTACTTGTATACAGTTGTGCTTGTATCCGTAAATAAACCGTTTATAACCTCTGGCTTTATCCTGCAGAGAAACCTACCCACAATATGGTCTTCCAGGTGATTTCAAGTGAGTATAGTGTATCAACATCAGGAATGAAAAATAGAAGACTATCATCTATTTCAAACACAACAAATGGAAGCTTTTCAAATGTTTGTGATATACAAATACAGACTATCGTGAACTACACGATCAAATATCAATTTACAAAATGCCAATGCATCCAAATCAATTCCCAATTTGAGAATATTCTTGGAATGGAAATTAATTGTTGATAGCCATCATTCTACACGTGGGGTGACCAAACATTTCTTGTCCTTTTACAGTTTGGAAAGATTCTTCCAGCGTGTTGTGTTCTCACTACAATACTAACCCTTTAAACATGTGGGCCATCAAGGTACAGACTGCAAGACTACCCTCAATGTCTGTCATGGCGATGGCGGTCGAACATGTTGGGTCAATGCACCTTTTTTTATCGTTGGTCAAGCCGTGCTTTTGAAGGGGAGTCTGCGATCGATGCTGTATGAGGTACGATGAAATGAAGGGTAACATCGCGTTCAAGATTACTGACTTATATAGTACGGAAGCGTAGTAGGGCCACGGTGATTTTTTTTTTGTCTAAGTATCTCCTACGTAGGACTTATTATCTTCTACGTAGGACTTACTATCTCCTTTGTAGGACTAAGTTTCTCCTACGTAGGACTTACTATCTCCTACGTAGGACTACGTCGTATGTAGGAGATAGTGATTCTAGGCCATACTAAGTCCTACGTAGGAGATAGTAAGTTCTACGTAGGAGATAGTAAGTCCTACGTAGGAGATACTAAGACGAAAAGATATTCACCGTGGCCCTACTACGCTTCCGTAATATAGCGACATTCATGTGTATGTGTGTGTATGTGTGTGTGCGTGCGTGTGTGTGCACGTGTGTCTGGCTGTTGTCTCCCCCCCCCCCCCCCCCCCCTCCTCCTCTCTCTCTCTCTCCTGGCATAATCCTGACATATGCCGATTTTACAGCTAGCCCACTGTCATACCACGTAGAGCTGACCAGTTCCTAATTTGCCCTAACTGCCGAGCACCGGGCAAAGGCAAAGGAACAAAAAGTACCATCTTTAAGCATAGCACCGACCTTCCACTCTCTGACGAGTAACCAGACGTTCTCATGATCACCTGAATCATGATCAAGCTTTTGTTACCCGAGGATTATAACCAATACTTAAATCTATTTTAAAGAGTTGATACTTCTTTAACGGTGAGAAGAGGCGTGAAAGGTTCAAACTCGTCCCGTTCCTACATAGTGGCAATATGCGGTGGGGAAAAAAAGTAAACCACTCACTTTCACGGGTATATTATTAATTATAGTGTCTTCAGTTGCATATACCGTGTCATATTAGGTTAGCAGAAGAAATATTGGGTGAGTCGTCAGCCGAGCCCAATATTTTTTCTGCTAACCTAATATGACGAATGGAACGATGACCATTCCTTATGGTTGTGGAACGAGTTATGTGGCTTTACTTAAATGAATACACTACTTTTGTGATCCTTACTGTTCACGTGAACCAGTGTGATCCTGTTTCTTAGTTACAGCCACGGCAAATATAACCTTATTGACTTTTTTCAATCAACACTCAAAGTGTATAAACGCACGACTAATTACTGAAACGAATGATCTATAACCGTAATCGATGTTGCATTCCCTTGTAATAAATATTAACCTGAAATTGAATTCCGATAGATACTGATCAGTGTAGAATGTAAACGCGCAGACGCCATCCGGAGACGGACTCATGATGAGGCTCACAAGAACTCTACTTCTTGCTGTCTCCTACGCCTTCATGCAGGGTATGTTTCTCAGTTAACGTTGATGACAGAGGTTAGTTAGTTATTTAGTTACTATGGGTTGTGTTGATGACAGAGGTTAGTTATTTAGTTAGTTACTATGGGTTGTGTTGATGACAGAGGTTAGTTATTTAGTAAGTTACTATGGGTTGTGTTGATGACAGAGGTTAGTTATTTAGTTAGTTACTATGGGTTGTGTTGATGACAGAGGTTAGTTACTATGGGTTGTGTTGATGACAGAGGTTAGTTATTTAGTAAGTTACTATGGGTTGTGTTGATGACAGAGGTTAGTTACTATGAGTTGTGTTGATGACAGAGGTTAGTTACTATGGGTTGTGTTGATGACAGAGGTTAGTTATTTAGTAAGTTACTATGGGTTGTGTTGATGACAGAGGTTAGTTACTATGGGTTGTGTTGATGACAGAGGTTAGTTACTATGGGTTGTGTTGATGACAGAGGTTAGTTACTATGGGTTGTGTTGATGACAGAGGTTAGTTACTATGGGTTGTGTTGATGACAGAGGTTAGTTACTATGGGTTGTGTTGATGACAGAGGTTAGTTACTATGGGTTGTGTTGATGGCAGAGGTTAGTTACTATGGGTTGTGTTGATGACAGAGGTTAGTTACTATGGGTTGTGTTGATCACAGAGGTTAGTTACTATTGGTTGTGTTGATGACAGAGGTTAGTTACTATGGGTTGTGTTGATGACAGAGGTTAGTTACTATGGGTTGTGTTGATGACAGAGGTTAGTTACTATTGGTTGTGTTGATGACAGAGGTTAGTTACCATGGGTTGTGTTGATCACAGAGGTTAGTTACTATGGGTTGTGTTGATCACAGAGGTTAGTTACTATGGGTTGTGTTGATGACAGAGGTTAGTTACTATGGGTTGTGTTGATCACAGAGGTTAGTTACTATGGGTTGTGTTGATGACAGAGGTTAGTTACTATGGGTTGTTTGTTTACGTTTCCAAAGTTGACACATCAGTGACAAAAGTTGACAGAAAAGATGAACGATTGATTTGCCTTGGCATGTGTTTGTGACGGGTGGCACCGGTGGGGAAGGATACACTCACCTTTTCGCGAACATTTGATTTCATCGCTATTTGATAGTGATTCATGAACCATTCTCATGATATTGTCGGTATCGTTGAGGAGACCATTTGATACCGATTCATAAGTATATGTCACCCGTGAAGATCTGGGGTAGAACAGGTCTTCAGTAAAGGCGACTATGCTTGTTGTAAGAGGCGACGGAGGGGTCGGATGGTCAGGCTCGATGACTTAGTTGATGCATGTCATCGTATCCCAAGTGCGTGGATAACTGGATTGTGTCGTCAAGACTCGTTTATTTACAGGCCGCCGTCATATAGCTGGAATATTGCTGAGTACGGCGTTAAACAACAAACAAACATTCGCCCTGATATGGTCAGGATTTTTGAAACAGGACTAAAACCTAAAAACATGGGTATCGGTTTGAATCGGGAATCGAGGAGTCTGTCACGTGTAAATGATGCTAATCAGCAGATTGAACCACAATTTAGAATTCCTACGGATTTATGGTACTAGTCCTACTTGCGGGAATTATATTTCTGCCATACTTCATGACAAACTATTGCTAAAACAAATATATAACGATTAGAACCATCTTAGACGACTTTCAGTGAAGTGAAATAATTAGTTTTCGCTACTTCAACCGCCGTCGAGGGTTACAGATCTTAAATTACTCAAATCAAAATGTCATGGCTAGAGAAAAATCAGTCTTGATTTTCTGTCGGAACAGATTCCATAGGGCGAAATAGTGTTCGTAATTTTATGATCGGATCACCGAAAAACATCAAAATGTATTAATTGGTTTCAAATGATTAAACGAAAGCTTTCATTATGGAAGGGTCCACATGATATGTTTTGAAGTATTAGTTCTTGAGATGGAAACTCCAACATAGCCAATCAGGACGAAATATTCTCCACAAGACTGTATGATAAAAGGAATAACTTCAACTTTTCAATAGTCAACTTTCCCTTCATGTCTAGCAATATTCCAGCAGTTCCAGCCTTTGGTGTTTACATTACAACGCAAATGAGAACAGTACTCAAAAACACGTTTTTACACGCGGAACGAAATTGGGTATAAAGAGATGGCATTCAAAGGCTACCCGCATAATTGATGTAGGCGCGGAATAGCAATGAGGACGCAATACCGAGATTGACACTTGAGGCACGGGAACGTGCAGTCATCCTTTCTTTAGCCCGATTCTGACCCTAAGGCACCGACATGCATTTCCACACGGACCAGACAATGGTTACTTCGACGCTGGCGTGGCGTTCTCTTCTCTGATGAATCCAGATTTCACCTCAAGAACGCCGATAGACGTATATGGGTATGGCGTCGCCGTGTATGGCGTTCATGTTGTCACGATGATCGTGTTGTGAAGACTGATGATCGATGGGGCGGCGGAAGTGTGATAGTTTGATAGTTTTCGGCACTGAACGCAGCACCATGTATGCATAGGTCGTGTTATTGCAGTTAACTACAGGGGCGCCATTTTTAAAACGTCACGTTGTCCTCTGTTTCCGTCAACACCAAGAGCTGCATACTTTCCAACAGGACGCCAGTGTAGGAGGCTCAAATGACTCCCCGGGCTCAGACGACTCTAGAGTCATTTGAGCCTGGGCTCATTTGACTCCTCTTAGGCCCAAACGACTCCCCCGTCGTAGGTTTAGATAACTCCCGAAGGGTCAAATGACTCCCAAATTTGTTTTGTAGACTACAAATGTTTTGACACTAATTGTGCAACAAAAGTCTGTGAATATCGTACACAAATATATATTTTCGATGATACAGCACAGTATTTTCGATAATTGCATCCCATATCTTTTACATATTGTGAAATTACCTGCTTTTTTTGCATAATAAGATTTTATGTGATAAATTTGAAGGACATTATCAAGCCTGACGTTTAGACTTTTTAAATACTCTTTCACATCAGCGACTTTATTTTCTGGCATAATGGCTGGATATGATGTAATATTGACGCTTTACTGCAACATTTGTTAAACTTAGAAAATATTTGTCTTCATTATTCTGTTTGATTCACTAACTTTGTATTTCAAATAATACTGCACCTGATGTTTGATTGTAATGTCTGTGATATGTTTTAGAAAGATAACCATATTGGCATTCTGATCTGTTTTGCTGTCTTATATCTTCGTGTAAAATGTTGATATGGACGAGCGATCATTGTGTTACAAAATTAATGGCAATCTATATTGTTTAAAACATAAGAAAAAAATACTTTACCTAATGTGATATGTTAAAAGCTTCCTTTTTGAAGTTATTTGTATCGTCAAATTACCTTAAAGTGAAGTTAAAGTGTGCTTTATGTTCACAAAATATTTCTTTGTGTACGAAGTCGGCGCGGTCATTGTTGTATTAGCTAACAAGCGGTTGATACACTTGTGTCTCTTCATACTTGAAAACTAATCGTCTTGTAAATATATTGAATTTATTAAAGTTACCTATTGTTTTTAATGTTTCGACTCGCCACCGACAATACCCTAAATCTCAGTAACTACGCATTATAAACTGTGAGTACATCAAATTAGATATATTAACCTACCGTGTGAATTTTATAATAATTTGCACAACGTGGTATTTGTTGTTTGTGAATCAAAATTTACCAAGACTTTAGGGAATTTGTTTTACCTGACCGGAAGAGGTCTTATAATACAAATGCGTGTCTATTATTTTAAAAGGGAGTGTGAGTGGATAGTCTGTTTGACAAATCTAACAGATGGTTGCCATAATCTCACAACCACTATGCACTGTATAAACATTCGCTCTGTTCTTTCAATCTGAACACTTTACCTGTAATTGACTATACCGCAATGACGAAGAAGAAGATTATGTTTATTTCTCATGAATCACCTAGGTGACATAAAGACATATATACAAAGAAATGAGACAATAGTTAGTGGAGCATACGCAGTCCATATTTTACGTACTGGGCTTGTCGTAAGAGGAGAGGTTTATAAGAACAAGTCATAAGTGAAACAATTTTTTCAGTATTTGGATATTTACAATAATATAATGGGAGATATTTATTTCTTAAATGATCCAATTCATGGCATTCTAGTATAAAATGGAATTCATCACCAATTTTATTTTTACAAAGAGAGCAAAGCTTTTCTTCCCTATTGAGGTTATACCATCGGCCAGTTTCAGTTGGGAGTCGGTGGTTGGTGGTTAGGATTTTTAGTAAGCCAGATGCGTAAATTATGAGGTAAATACAATAAGTAGTCTTCTACTGAGAGGATATCTTTATACAGATTATAATAGTGTCCTTTTGAGGAATTTACTTTACTACTCTTCCAGCTTAGTAAAAATTGATCTATAAGGAGAGTTTTGACGTTGGCCGTTTTCCATTGTACACTGGGAAATTCCTGAGACAGCCAAATGTGATTCAGACCTGTACTTTGTAAAATACGTTGGATTTCATTTACAAGTGGGAACTTAAACTCTGGGTGGGCAATTTGGAGTTTGAACATAAGTTTGTACATTATACCTGATAATTTGGTTTCTGACAGAACTAATTTACACCAATATGATACCATTCTTAACTTAACATGGATATTTAATGGGTATATCCCTAATTCCCCGTACACTATGAAATCAGGGGTAGTTTGCTTAACCTTCAAATTATATTTACAATATCTTAAGTGAACACGTTCCAGTATAACAGTATTTTCGAAGCCCCAAACTTTGGATCCATACAACAATATAGGTTGAACAAGATAGTCAAACAGTTTAAGTTGACAGTCAATTGGTACTTCTAATACTGGTATTTTTCAAAAAATAGCAAACATTGCTCTAGAAGATTGGCCAGATAACCGTTTAATGGCTTTGCAAAATCGACCGTTTCTTGAAAATAAAATGCCTAGAAAGACATATTGTTTTTCAATAAGGAGAATCGTATCTTGAAGTCTAAATGTACAGGCAATTTT